ATGTGCTTTAAAATTAATGTATTTATAGTTGTTTCGCATATAGGTGAGACCTATTCCAAGGACGAGCGCGGTCACTCGAGGCAAGGGGTTACGACCCTTCTACATAACAGTGAGTGGGCTTTTGGTTTTCTGTATATACCTATATACTTATGTTTTTCCCAGAAAATGAAATGAAATGTTTATACGTTTATATGTCATGCATTATGTTTGCCGTTGAGTATACATTATTAGTTGCATATCTATATGTGTGTTTGGTGCTGCGGACGCACAGGTAAGTGCCAAGTAAGTTATGGTTTATATTTATTGTTCAGTAGTGATATGAGATGCATAGAGAGCTCATAACCTGCACCCCCGGTGTTAGTGCTCCCGCCCAGAGCTGGGCACAGTCCTTCACGTGATGTTCACCTCCCGCACCACACGCTCATCTTGGATCCAAGTTAGGTGCACAGTCCTGTCGTACAAACCATTTCAGGTGATTCCGACTCGTAGGTGACCCGCGATTATTCGCGCAGTCTTCACGTGATCGTAGCACTTGAGCGTACTTATTATACACCTAGTCCTGTCGTACAGACCACTTTAGTTGGTTCCGACTCGTGTGCAAGTATAGTTAGTAAGATGAAGATTTGAGCTCTAGATTCAGCCGTACAGGTCACGTTAGGTGACTCTGGCTGACAGATTACATGGCATTGTTTTGGCGTTACCTGAGTACTTGCATTTTATTTCGAGACATTTGGCATGGCTTATTTCTGAGCATGACTTATATATATATGTATATATTCTATTTTCTAGGAAGTATACAGGTTTTACGGCGAGGGTTAGAACTTTGTTTATGAAATGGTTTTTGAAAAGCTTTGTTTTTGCCCACTCACGCTTTCTGTTTTGCGCCCCTCCAGGTTCTAGTTAGGCTAGCGCTTTTGGTGGCTCCCCAGAGGATTTTCTCGGCATATCTGACAGATTATCACCAGTGTAGGACCACATTTGGGTGTGTTTATTTAGGGTTGTTTTCTCCTGGACTGCACTAGGTCTTCCGTGCTCTGAACTTTGTTTTTCACACTTACGCTTGCACATGTATGTTCTTACTTTGTGTATAGCTGGTTTTTAATTATTCGTAATTTTATTATTATTTATTAGCTTCCACACTGTGCATATGATTACGTCACTTCCACGTGACGGTCAGCATGCCCTGATCTCGGTCGAGGTGTGTCAATTATTGTAACTAATTTATTGTATAATTCTAGTTATATTTTGAGACTGCTTTTAAAATGATTAAAACTCTTGAACATTAGATTGAAAATATTTAATGTCATTAGATTTTCTTTGGTATCAGAGTTTTCTGGGGTTTTGTATCTTCTGGTGTGCTTCATGGTGGATAGATAGGTTTTATACTATTTAGTTTCTACTAAGTGTAATATTGCGCACCAAATTTTGTGTCAAACAATGTGAATGTTGCGCTATAAAATTTTGAACCTTCAGAACGTTTGGGTCACTCTTTCTAAATTTAATATCGATCAAACCAAACTACCTATTTTGAGTGACAATAAAGCTGGAATTTTTGCCCTTCGTGAAGAAAAATTCTAGCTTCGCTACTAGTCAAATATACAAAAAGTTAAATTCAAATAACCTAGGATGATTATGGGATTGTTTGGATGTGCTTTTAAAATGGTTAAAAGCGCTTTTAGAAAAAATATTTTTGGATTCTAAAAGCATTTTAGTGCTTACTGCAGGAAATACTAGTTATGTGATTCTTCTAGGAAGCACTTTAATTGATTTTTCATGATTTATTTGTATTTTTACTAAGGATTGATTCCAAAAACATTTTCACTAAAAGCGTTTTCAGTAATTTTAAAAGCACATTCAAACGAGCTATACTTCACGAAAATAATACCTCTGAATAGGAATTAACAGAAGGTTATTTTAAGCATATATTTACTTATAATAAATGAATTTGCAATGAATCAATTATTATTTGTTTGGTCAAATGAAAAAAAGAAGGTGAATTTCCATCTATTTTTTATATGACAAACCTGAAAAATGAATTTTTAGATATGAAATAACTCATGAAAATTATACCCTAATTTATTTCATACTTCCTTCTTATCCTCGTTTATTTTCACATACATATTTTCTCATCCCTTACAAATATGGGCAATTAGGTTGGATGGTCACTTTTTGACATTTAGTTGTAGAAATGTTCATTTTTTAATAGTGACAACATAGTAAACATACAACAATAACAGAACTATGATACAACGACACATGATCATTTCTGTCAAATAGTAATCTTTCTTGCTAATCGCCTTAGAAATAATTAAATATGCCAAAAAGTGAGAGGAGTATCATCGCAAAGTTGGCACAACAAGACTGAGAAGAAAACTTGGGTCAGTTAAGATTTGAGGCAACTCACTTTAGAAAGGCATGTGTCATGTGGCATGTATTGCTTAAGTTCATTTCCCAGAAAGAAAAACCGAAGAAAAGCGTGCGACGGGTCAGATAAATTGTGTTAAGATCGAGAATATTCCTCAATCATTCAAAAACCCTTTATTTATTTATTATTATTATTTTTTTTTTTGAGTTCGTCTTTTATTTAACATCCGTTTAATCGATTCCATTTTTTAAATATGCTCTAATAAATAATAATAATAATATGCTATTACAAATTAGTAATATGATTTAGTAGTATTCTTATTCGTTTGTAAGCGAGAGGTTTTAGATTCGTTTAGCTATCGCTAAAGGCGAATTTGAACCACATTATTATAACTAGCTCATTGTGAAGCTTAACGTCCACTCTCCTACCCCTTTAGTGTAACTAATATCGTTTGCTTAACAAAAATAATAATATTATTATTATATTGTCCGACCTTGACTTGCACCTAGCATAGGACTTTCTCTCTCAAATTAACTTGGGATCCAGGTTCTCTCCTTTCCATTTTCTTGCCTCTCCAATTCACGTCAACATTTTATGTTGACTTCATTATAGAGAGAAAGATAAAAAGAAAAGTGGGAGGGAAGACAAATGGATTTTGAGGAGAAAGAATCCTACTCTATTATCTTGACCAATGTTTGCATTTATTTTGTAGAGAGAGAAAGATAAAGAGAAAAGTGAGAGAGGAGGAGAAAAGTGAGAGATGAAATTTTAGTGCCATCCGATTGAATTATTATATGAATTCGAAGAGAGATGTTGGCCAAAATAACATGTGACTGGTCTTCCAAAAAACAAACTGACATGTGACTTGGGTCACATCAATCTATAACAAGTCTAGCGACCCAACATAATGGTTGAGTTTTCAAATCTTATTTCATATCTTTTCTTTTTCCTTTTAAATTTGGGAGTTTTAATAAAAAAACAACAAAAAAAAAAACCTACAATACTGTTCATTTTAACGAAAAATCATATTTTTACATTAAAAAGTCAGACATGGTAGTATTCACTTTACCCTTTATTTTCTCCTTATCGTTAAAACTAAAAGTCTTGAAACTTTTTTTATTAGTTTTCCTTTTAAATTTTCAATGATCTAATCATCAAGTACAGTGAAAATACCATTTTTGACAGTAAGAGACTTGTTTGCTATATGTTTCCTTAGAATAAAAAATTCGACTTTGTTTTAAATACAAAGTTATATTTACAGTAAGGGGTGATGGAATAAATTAGTATCAAATATTTGAACTTATAATTTATGAGATTTGGTTCCAACCTAAAACTTTGTACTTATAAGTTACGGGTAAAGAGAAATATCATTAGAAATTACAACCAAACGAAATAATAAAAAATTCGAACTTAAAACATCTTATGAGGTTGTCTTGTGATTTAAAAAAATTTATAATACATTGTCTGGTGGTAGATGTACTTGATTGACGGCATGAGATCATTGGTTGTTCTTGATCCCAATAACTCCAAAAATCCCATGTATAATTGTTTGTATATTGTATTTGACATCCATAAACAAGTAAGGCAAACTAAATTATAACCTCCTTTTTCTGCTTCTATTTTCTTTTATCATATTTGTCTTTATTTCCTCTTTTCTTGAATGAAGTACTTTAGTTGAAAACTCTTGGTAGTCTTCAACTTTACTCCACAATATCTTGCATCCACCCTCAACAAGCCTCTATAAATAATAGTACTTGTCGACATATGTTGGCATAAACTTTCGGCGTATGTTGACAGGAATTGACAAGTACCTACTAGATGTTCGATGAAATGACCCAAAGAAGCTTTATGCTTGATCTTATGATCTCATTATTTAAAAATCTTGGCTATGCCATTGATTGAAGGGTAGTAACTGGATGAAAAAAAAGTGAAATAATTGGGGCAATTATGAGATTGACACTCATTAGCTAATAAGACCATATAATAATATAATTGATATCTAAATTGAATGAATGAAATAATTAAAGAGAAATACTAAGGAGATTTTCTTAAAAGATAATGCTAAGAGACTAAATTTGTAGATAAATTTATAAAATAAATGATTTGTTACCAATAAGAATAAACACGTTTATTAACGCTTAAGTAGTAACTTAATCATTAATTTTCATGTTTTTAGTTTACAAAATTTTGTCTACAAATTTAGTTTTTTTAGCATTATCTTTTTTTTGTTTTTTTTTTTAAATGGGACTTTTTAAGAACTTATTATCACCTCACACTTTAACGTCAATTCATATTCTAATATTATAAAATATTGGTTAAAAAAATTAAGGTGACATAATCTCATTTTTAAAAGAGTTCTGTAACACTTATCATAAATAAAATAATAAACATTATAAGGGCAAGCATCCGACCACGGTCGGTGAGATTGCACCTTAACTTACCCTACCAAAAAGACTCTAATGCCCCTATGCCCCACTTAATTTCGTTTCATAATTACCCATGTGATATATGTGACCCACTGACCCTATAATTCACTTATTTCCCAAAATACCCCTTCTTCCCTCATTCCCCAACTACCCACCTGTTTGTTCAAAGTCCTCCCCTCCAAAATCGTTATATAAACCCCTTCAAACCAAACCCCTCCTCCTCACAGCCTCCTCACCAAACACCTTCTCTCTCTCTCTAGAAATACCAGTTTCTCTTCAGACAGTAAGAGAGAGAAGAAGGAAGAGGAGGAGAGAGAGACAACAGCAATGGCTCTCACAAACCCAGCAACCCTGTCCTCCAAATCAATCTGCAAAATTCACTCTCTCTCCCCTCCCACCCCTCAGTCTCACCAACCCATTTTCTCCCCATTTCCTTCCAAGAAAAAGAACCTCCACCCCATCTCCGCCTCCGCCGACTCCGGCAAGTCCCCCGTCGTCGCGGAGAAGCCTCCAAAGGCCGCTGCGGCGCCCGCGAAGTCGGTTTCCGGAAAATGGAGCCTTGGACAGCTGGAAATCCAAGAAGGCCCTGCAGCTTCCGGAGTACCCGGATGTGAACGAGCTGGAGACGGTGCTAAAGACCATCGAGTCATTTCCTCCGATTGTGTTCGCCGGAGAGGCCAGGCACTTGGAGGAGAAGCTCGCCGAGGCGGCCCTGGGAAATGCTTTTCTGTTACAGGGCGGCGACTGCGCTGAGAGCTTCAAGGAGTTCAGCGCCAACAACATTAGGGACACCTTCAGAATCATGCTTCAGATGGGTGTTGTTCTGATGTTTGGAGGACAAGTGCCTGTTATCAAGGTAGAGCTTTTGACGATCTCGTCTGGTTTTTTGACATATCTTTGATTTTTGTTTTAGTGTTTTAGGATACCGTTTGATAACCATTTCGATTTTCGGTTTTTAGTTTTAGTTTTAATTTTCGCAAACTTGTTTGGCAACTACTTTCAGTTACGAAATGATTATCAAACGTCACCTTAGTTTTCGGGTTTATTGTTTTGATTGGTGTGTTGAATGAGGACTGAGAAATTTTTATAACCATTTCAGTTTTCAATTTTTGAATGCAACTAGTTACATAACGAGTTTTTAGTTTAAAAAACAAAATGTGAAAAGAAAAACTGTGTTGGACGAGGATTGAGAGTTGCGGGGTTTGTTCATTTAGGTGGGAAGAATGGCGGGTCAGTTCGCGAAGCCAAGATCAGCGGAGTTTGAAGAGAAGAATGGGGTGAAGTTGCCGGTTTACAAAGGGGATAACATCAATGGTGACGCTTTTGATGAGAAATCTAGAAATCCAGACCCCCAGAGGTTGATAAGAGCTTATTGCCAATCTGCGGCAACTTTGAACCTTCTTCGGGCCTTTGCCACCGGAGGGTATGCTGCTATGCAGAGGGTTACTCAATGGAATCTTGATTTCGCTCAGCACAGCGAGCAGGGAGATAGGTATGCACTCAACCCACATTTTAAAATTTAGATCCCTATCCATATTATCCATATTAGTTTACATGACTGTGAGGAATGCTAAAACATATACTTGAATGTTCTAGTACAAAATTGGAATTTGGACGCGTAGGAGTTTCGAAGATAATCAAATTTGAATATCTGACTGAAGAGTTTCAATTTGCTCATTTGCGCTGTTACAATGATTCAACAGGTACCAGGAACTGGCTAGCAGGGTCGACGAGGCTTTAGGGTTCATGAATGCTGCTGGACTTACAGTTGATCATCCTATCATGACAACAACTGATTTCTGGACATCCCATGAATGTCTGCATCTGGCCTATGAGCAATCACTCACCAGATTGGATTCTACTTCCGGTCTGTACTATGATTGCTCCGCCCACATGCTTTGGGTTGGTGAGCGTACCCGGCAACTGGATGGTGCCCATGTAGAGTTCCTAAGAGGACTTGCCAATCCCATCGGCATCAAGGTAGGATTTTTTAAACTCTCGATTAATCTCATTGTTATTAGTGGCTTTACATGTGTGTACACTGATAGATCAAACTCGTCGTTGTTGAGCGACTAAAAGTGTCAGTAATTTAAGCTGCGCCGTTCATTTTTTCTGGTAAAGTTGTGTTAAATGGCTTAAAATGATACTTGTGATGCAGGTGAGCAATAAAATGGACCCAAAAGATCTTGTTAACATCATCGAAATCCTGAACCCTAGTAACAAGCCAGGAAGGATCACAATCATTGTTAGAATGGGTGCTGAGAACATGAGAGTCAAGCTTCCTCATTTGATTAGGGCTGTCCGCCAAGCAGGGCAGATTGTGACCTGGGTCTCCGATCCAATGCATGGAAACACTATCCAGGCACCCTGTGGACTCAAAACACGTCCATTTGATTCAATCTTGGTATAATTTCTTTTCTAATCAACATGAAACGGAAAAATCAAAATAGCAATACTGCTTGATCATGTTGCACCACCTATACATATAAATCAACATAGCAATACTGCAACTGCATATCGTTTAAGTCAGCATTATTTGTTCAAAATCCATGCCATGTAGGTTAGTATTGAAGAAAATGTCCTGTAGACTGAAAAGTGCTCATAATCCTTTGGTGGCAGTTTATCGGCGCTAGCATCTAGTTCGTAAAGAGACTCGAGCAATATGTCGGTTTTCTACTAGACGTACAAGTTATTATATGCAAGATTGTGATGCCCTTGTGCATTCACAATTTGTTACCTATTAATCTATTTACTTATTATCATCATCATTGAATCATCGTCTTCGTGTAACAATGGTTGGTATATTGTATTTGTTTGCAGGCTGAGGTACGAGCATTCTTTGATGTGCACGAACAAGAAGGGAGCCACCCAGGAGGAATTCATTTGGAGATGACTGGGCAGAATGTGACAGAGTGCATTGGAGGCTCGCGAACAGTGACTTTTGATGATCTGAGCTCACGTTACCACACCCACTGCGACCCGAGGCTCAATGCTTCTCAGGCTCTTGAGCTATCCTTCATCATTGCAGAACGACTTAGGAAGAGAAGAATGGGAACTCAGCGTTTGCCCTCGTTAAACCTCTAAACAAAACATCAAAGTCGTGCATTATATCAAATGATTGGAAACCGTGGTGTATTCGGTAGAAAATAAAAGTGGTATGGATTATCCAGCAAACTGCATATTGCTCCACCTGCAGATTAGCGATAAGAGAGTCGAAACAGTTCAGAGAAGCAGGATCAACGATGAGAAAGTTGAGCTCTGGATCGAAAAATGTCGAGTACTATATATATATTCCCAAGTTACTTTTGGTTGTGCAGATTGGATTGCAGGGTGCTGGCGATCAAAGCTTGTACAATGCCATAATTTAATTTGTTGTATTTCGGATTTGAATTTGTCTTATTTATGGATGCAGTTCTTTTTCCTTTTTTTTTTGGTCAAAATTTATAGATGTAGGTCTTTTTTCCCTATTTTCCCTTTTTTCTTTTTTATTTTTTATGTCAAAATTTATGGAGGTAGTTTGATAAGGTGGTGTGACTTGTACGAAATTTTTGGAAGAATAATAGCAAAAGTCATAACTTATGGCTAATGTTCTAAAAGATGTTAGACACTAATCAGGTGGGGAGTTGGGACCTAGAACTTAGGCGCCTGGGTGAACTAGACGAATTTAAGTAAATTTATTACATATCGTATATATAATTGCATGCTCATACTTAATAAATACAAAATTGCATTGGGATACATAAATTGTAAGATAGAATGATATATCGATTATAAAATATTAGAACATAGGAACAAGTATATAATTTGTGTTCATCTAAGTATTCAACAAGTTTTTTATAATTTATTGAAAAAATAAAATGTAAAATGAAAGTTATATATTTTATGTCTAAGTGAGAGTTGCGACCTAGACAGGTGTCCAGGTGGGTCTGGGCGGGTTAGGCAAGCGCCTAGGCGGTCTAGGCAGGCGCCTAGATGGTCTAGACGGGCACCTAAGCAGGTGTAGACACACTGTTCTTAATTTTCAAACGTCTCGAGATTAATCGGAACGATGGCCAGCCGCTTAACACCTAGACGTTGGATGGAAATTTCTAAAATAGTGCTTATAGTACATATAATTTTGCATTCATCTTTCCCATCAGATGACTAGTGATTTATGAGAAAGTTCTCATTTTAGCGGTGCCCGTGACTAGGATGATTAACGCACATGGCCGTATCTATACAACTGGTGTATACAAACGCCTCTTAGTCTCACATTCAACGCTCTGCATGTCATTCTTGTAATTTTGTGATAGGAATGTTGTGTCCAGAAGTTTGTTCCTCATACAATCGATGTACAATGCATACAACTCCCCACGTTATTCACGCGACCTACTCGTCTTATTGTTCTTCATATTTTATTTTTCATCTTTTGGTGTATGGTGAATGATTTTATTGAGTCGGTAGGCAAGTAGCAATCTTTCTAGATCTAGATATTAATAGGGAAGAAGATTCTCTTCGGATTCACTTTTTGAAATCCGAGAGATTCCCATCTCTAACAGTTTATCGTATATCGTGTGATTAATTTTCGTCAGGTATTATTTGTATTTAATTTTAAATAAAAAAATTAAATAATTTATGATCATCCGATACACGATAAATAATTAAAATATAAAAATCCGTAAAATCTACATAATTTAAATCCTGATGAGATCCAAATCGTTAATGTACGGCCTAAACGAAGGCCTCGCATGTGTATAATAAATATTGAAAATCATCATTGGACCATTTTAAAATTTTAATATAAAAAAATACAAGTTCAGAATATAGTCCACAAGGTCAAGTGGTCAACAAGCAACTAAATTATAAATTAGACAGCTGCACTGCACACGTACCCTTGTGAAGTGCGTGTGGTGCCACGCATAACATATGCACACACGTGTTCTCTTTCTGTTGGGGCAACGTTCCACTTTTATGTTACTTTTATCACTTAATTATATTATTATTTATGTCATCTTTTAATAAAGATGAACCTACGTACATTAGCAGCGGATGTATGTTAGATTTCTTGGTCAATAACAGATGTAACCCATAATTGTCAGATTTTTTCAAATCTCGTTTTAATGATCCAAATTATTTTCCTTATTCAAAACTTATCGTTGCAAGAAATCATTCAAGAAAACTAATTAAAAAATGGAACAGTTCAAATTATTAAAATACAATGCTGAGTTGATTGTACAAAAATATTCATCGATGAAAGTCGCTCTTTATAATTGGGTACATGTTAAATTTCTTGGTCGGTGGGAGATGTAACCTTAAACTGTTAGGAGTCGAGAGATCTAGCACTAGTAACTTAGTTGTGGCCACCAGGGGAAGAGGTAGATGAAACCCTAACTAGCTGGTTCAACTTGGAACCCCCATATGCGTATAACTATAACTCACGTGCACATCTAACTATAACTATAACTCACGTGCCATCTAACTTTATATTCTGGTTGGTTTGTTCGTCTTATTGTAGATAGATGCAGGGAGAGCACCGGTAGCTCAACTTTTGTTTCGTTATTTAAGGATTTCTTTCTTTGTTTTGTTTTATTTTGGCTATCTAGCATTCATCCATAGTTAAATTATTAAATAAGCTAAACCCTAAATAACAAATGCCAAACTTCACTTTTGGTCATGTTTATTCCATGTTTTGTTTTAGTCGATGTTTATTTATTTTTTTTCCTTAAAAAGAGATCAACTAGTGATGAAGCCACGATAGTTTATTTTTTCAAGGATCAGAAAGACTTAAGGGGGCATTTTAGCCTTTTATGACCACCATCGTGTAATTCACCAATTTCAAAAATCAAACCTAAGACTAGCCGTGTGAAATATGACAACGTAAAAACAACATATTAGGAAAGAACAAATCCATCTTCATTGGTATACAATCTAAGCAAAATTGTATTAATTTATACAGGCTGATTGTAGCCTACTCCAATGAACTAAGCAAACCAAATAATATTTATTATTGCCTACTTGGGGAGAATAGACAATATTTGCCTACAGAGAAATGCTTATAACGTTGGCTCATCATCCATCACACCTTCCTTTTTTTGTTGACAAAACTCCATCAATCTTAAAGTTTAGGCAGGGTCCTGCATCTAACAAAGGAAAAGGAAAGTTGGAGTGAAGGATACGATGGGTATATATGATTTGGATGTACAAAGCCACGAATAACACACATACACCAAACACACACCACTCGACACAAACGCACTACTAAGATCACAACTAAATGCTCTCACTGGAATCCCAATGAGTGCTAGGTTTAGTCGCACACATGCGTGTGAACGAATGAGACCTACAAATGTATAGCTGGGCCATGCCTGCATCAACAGCTCAGCTACCGACCCATGCGCACTGTGAACGACTGAGCCAAGCCCAGTCTATCTCTAGTAATGCCACCCTTGAAAACACCATTTTTGAGGCATACCAAAGATGTTGCCAACATGGATGGAAGAAATTATAGACTATGCATTGCATTATTGGCCAATAAGAAACTTTTATTAGCTACTTCATATGGCACACGTGCATAACCCTCAACCGCAACATAGGCGTTCTAGTCATATGGTTCAAAGTGCACATTAGCAATAAGGGCACATCGATAGAGCTACCAGGGCAAAACTAAAACTCAGCAATAATATAAAACGACAGGCCTTGTATTAGATGACGAATCCTTTCAGCCAGATGCATACGCTAGTCCACGATGCAACCAATCTTCTAGTAATACGGCATGTATCGAGCAGGCCTTCTGAACCTCGGAACCTTCCTGCAGATGGAAGAAAGGGAAAAGAAAGCAAGATACATCAGGCACCTCATTTTGATAATAAATAGAGTAAGAGCACTGGAAGGAACATACCCATATCCATAGGGCGAGAAGTAAGGAGGTACATATGGCCTCCTGAAGCGGTAACCCATGTAAGGATTGAAGCGTCTAGGCCGGTATTGCTTCATACCAGGAACATTCGTTCTTTTAGGCAAAACCTATAGACATATATATTAAGAAGAAAATGAATAAATGCGATAACAAAAATAATGGATAAGAACATCCATGCCCAGCTTTCCGATGAGTTACCTTCAATTGCCGGCCGTGCAACTCAGACTCGTTTAGGCCCAGAGCCTCTTGAACAGCTTCAGTTTCCACAAATTCCACATAAGCGAAACCCTTTGGTTGGCCAAACTTATCTGTCAGTATAGTCACTCTATTGACCGTACCACATGATTGGAAATGCTGCTGCACTTCTTCAGGTGTGCATGCATAATCAACCTACAAAACATGATTTATCCAGTTTTTGAAGACAATGCTGAGTCAGCCAAAGACACAACACGCACGACAACACATGGAAGTGCCTTCAAGACCAAAAAAGAAACAATAAAGCTCAGCTGATACTTTGGCCTTGAGAACAACTGAGTGTGTCTGAAAGTTTTTTAAAAAGCGTCAGGGCATTCTAAATACCAAAAGCACTTTCTGCCGTGCTTAGCTGAATAAACAAAGTACTTTTTTAGGCAACGAAGAATTCCATGTCAAATTTTGTTATACATGGCACATAAAAACATAATCCCCATCCAACATGCCAATGAATGTTTAGTCCCTGTAAGCCTGCTAACTTGAGAAGACGGAGCTTCTGCATCCTACAGTCTCGGTATTATTCCAATTACTACTTCCAACAAAATTTTGCACGAGATGAAGAAAAGTCCTGGATAAGTCTTATCAATGTAACACAGAAAGCTGCTATCCTGTAACACTCTCCACTAAAATTATAACATAGGACCATGGGTGAGGCACACAAGCAAGGGAAAAAAATTTCTAAGGTGAACATAATTTATAAAAATATTACGAGAAGAAGAAAGTCACACTCAATGGATATAGTCTTCTTTTTTAAAATTTGGGTGAACGTAGTCGACAGATAAGAAAATCTATCTCAATCAATATAGAGAAGCAGAATCATGTACCCCTCACCACATAAGTACATGGGCACATATTCCTGAGCCACCAACCAACACCATTCCAGCAGCAGAGAAGCTCTACAACTAGAATTGAATACACGACTTTCCTTGGTTCTTCAAAACAGAGTTGCTGGCCTCTTGTGTACTGAAGATCCAGCATCTAATTTCACATCCTACCGCGTGCCCCAGCCTTCACTTGGAATATCTTCAGCAAATTTCACCCCTTCTTTCCTCCTCAACACATCATATCCCCCTACAACTAACTGTTGTAATTTTCCAAATGCACTTTTCTTTTTTCTAATTCTTTCTTCTTTTTCTTTTCATGCTTTTTTCTTCACCTTTTCCAAATTTTTCTTATTTCTTTTTTTATTTGATATTTTCTTCCTCCCATTTTCAACTTTTGTAATTCTTTTTTCTTCTTTTTTTTTTTTTTTTTTTTTTTTTTTTTTTTTTTAATTCGTGTCCCTGAAATGACAGTCTATTTATACATCAGAATACTCTGAGCCACCCTCAAACTACAGTGTAACATGTCCAGCTCATACACAGAACTTGATGAAAAACAATGACCCTGCGATCATATTACGACATAAAGTCAATCCATGACTCTGAAGTTGGGCATCATCCACATCCACATAAGAGTAAAATAGAAAGATAACTTCAGTGAGTAGTACAATTGAGGAGGTAACCCCTTGCTTTCTCTTTTATGTTCCTCCAAGTCCAAAGTAAAAATTAAAGAAGACGACAAAGGGAGAAGAAAAACACAATAGACAATAACAAAAAAAAAAAAAAAAAAAAAAAAAAAATGAAAGGACTAACAAAATTCAGAGTACTGTCATGATATATGATTACGGGTTGAAATATAAAATAACAAAGACATAGCAATATCTGATGTTTTGAAGTGAAGTCTTATAGATCGCAGAAGTGGTAAAGTCTACAAAACTAACAAATTGGAAAAGAACCTACTTAAGAAATGAAACATTGTGGAAGTGAAGCAATATCAGGTATGACCATAAATTATTGAGCTATTACAGTAGTTGGTTATCCTTGTTATTTCAGGTTTTCCAACTACCGATTGCCTATATATGGGTCGTCTTGTAGTACGTTATTGGTCCATTAGTTTGATAATGAAGAATTGAATTGAATTGAGTTCACCCTACTTGCCCCTCTTTCTCCTTCTGTCTTACTCTCTTTACAATTCCATCATCCTTAAAATATCTCTTCCCATCCTTCATACATTGGTGCAAAGCTTTTTCCTTTTTAAAACCATATATCTTGTGAAAAATTATGCATGCTTTCATTGAAGACTAGGTAAATGTAAATATAAAGAAGCACATAAATAATGTTAAGCCATGGCATGTTGATCAACTAATGCATAAACCACAAGTTCATAGACTGTTAGGTTGTGGGTTTTGTTATTTCTTGGGTTTTAACAAAACTAGAATCAAATATAGATTGGGCAGCGCGTAAGCACACATTGATATGTAGATTCTTGAATTACAGATCTAGAGAGTTTTGAAAAATCTTCTGACCTAATATATTCATATGACATTACAGCTAAAGAAATTCCAAATTCTAGATAGACTGTAATGTGAGGGTACCTTTAGATTGTATAGTGATGCATGAGTCCCAACACAAAACATTCTCATATCCTGATTGATATAAAAGTTATTTTATACTAAAAAACAAGCATTATTTAAGTAACTATTTCCTTTAAATCCTTTATATCCAGAGGTGATTATAAAATTAAGGGAATCCCCATTAGCACTCCAAAATAGCCATCCTGCACTCCCCCATTCTTTATATTTAACTTGACAGAGCAGTGCATGATGACTTTTTGGAGTTCAATTAGCAGCTCCCTAATTTAATTCCATGAGTGCATTTTAATAAATATCAACACTACTACCATACAAAGGTTAAACAAAAATGCAGATATCAATGGCTTATCAACATTACTAACACTAGATAGAGATACCAAAAATCTGGTCAAATCATAAAGAATATCCTCTTCATTTTGATACTGAAAAACTAAATTGATATATAAAATCTAGTAGTGGACTTGCCAAAACCACATGTTTACTCGCACTAAGCAACTTCACACCAAGATAACATGACAAACTGGAGGATTTCTCTATAAACAGCCGAGTGTCAGAAGTATGAGTGGGCTGTCGACATAGATCAAAAAATGCCGAACGCAGGGCAACATGGCCATTAGGACTAGACAAGTAGACAGGTCTAAGCTTAATGCACAGAATGCAAATGCTTCAGAAAGAGTAAGAGATTTCAACATTCTGGTACTTACATTGCCGACAAAAACCGATCGTGCGTCCACCTCTTCCCTGTTTGCTTGAGAAGCAGCGGCAATTGCAGGATCTATGTGGAAACAATAACGACACATAGGTAAATGAGCATGTTACTCAAAAGAAGTTAAACCAAAATTCCTTGCAAGTCACACGAAAAAACAAACATAAAAATGTTAAACTCCACAGGACAATAAGAGTGTAATTATCAAAAAGCTGATAACATAACACACTAAAAACACTTAGCGCGGCGCATAACTAAACCCTTGTGCTCTATTTTTCAAATTTCATGATATGCACTACAGACTTTCTACAAACATTCAATAGAACATGGTCAAATACAGCATTTTACAAACCATATATTCCAAAAACCTCCCTCTTTCAGTTTCAGTAACCACAGGATTCAAGAACCAAAAAATTAATTACTTTTTTCAGGAGAGAGAGAGAGAGGGGAACCTTGAACAGCGCCCATTTCCTTCTCAACCTTGGCCTGCATCTCGCGAAGAGCAGCAGCTTCCTCCTCCATCTCCTTCAACCGCTTCTTCATCTCGTCCAGCTCCTACAATACAAAATCAAATCCACCGAATTAATTTGACAATTGTGTTTTACGATTTGGTTGCTGAAATAAATTGAATTTCTAGGGTTTTAATGAGTACCTTTACGGCGGCGGCGTCCGCGGTGGACATGTCAACGTCGGCGTGATGAGCGTCCATGTCGCCGTCCAAATCTCCTTCGTCTGGGATCTCTGCTCCGTACACCTCATGCTCCTCTTCCTCCATTGCTCTTTGACCTCTGAATTCTTTTCTACGAAGGTATACTCGTCCGTCTCTTGTATTTGCCATTGGATTATACTTGGAGGCTACACTAGTTATACGGGGTCGTTTTGCCAAATCTATTTTGCATTTTTTTTGGAATTTTCTATGGAAACCCAAAATTGAAACATTGTCATCCTTCAATAATCATTTCGTTTTTAATTTTTAGTTTTAAGCAATTACCATGGTTACTAATTAGTCTTAAGATGATATTGCTTGGGTTCTTGCATGAACTAGCTGAGAGTGTTCAATGTGTACAAAATTTCTAGCTAGTGATTGTAAGATAGATCAATTTCCCTTGCGTCCTTGAGAGCATCACTTCTCGTTGTTGTCAATACCAAATCAGGTTCCATAGGTACTTTGGCGGGTTTTGCTTCAAGTACATTGGCTTCCTCCAATATATCGAGTGTATATTTGCATTGACAAATAAAAATTCCCACTTTAGAATGGGCAACTTCTACGCCAAGAAAGTATTTTCAATGGTTTGAGATCTTTAATTCGGAAACAACCTTTGAGAAACTTTTTGAGATTACTACTTGCTTCTTCATCATTCGTTGTAATGATCATGTCATCAACGTAAAGTAAAACCAAGTAATAGAATTTTCACAAACCTAAGTAAACAACGAGTAATCAGAACGTGATTATCGAAAACTAATTTCTTGAATGGCATATGAGAATCGCTAGAACTAGTTGCGAGAGGCGGTAACATATATACTACTTCATGCAATGTACCATGGAAAAATGCATTTTGCACATCCATATGGACAAATACCAATTCCGAACAGCAGCAACAATCAAGAGACAACGAACAGTCATTCATCCAAAGGATAACACACCTTGGTCAATAAGATGCCACCATGCATAGGGTTACTTCCTAACACTACGGTCGGCCACCTCCTCTCCCCTTACCTCGTGAGCACGTGAGGCTTTGGTCTTTGATCAAAGGTATTGATTGTTTTGTAGGTACAAATTCAACAAGACTGAAGACAACATATTTTTTTTGCCACAAACCATATTACTATGTGGCTACCCTTCAAGGTTCTTTGATTAGTGTAGAGATTATAAGGCGCTTTCATGTATGATGTAGGATTCCCTCCCTTCCAATTTCCCTCTTCTCCAGTTTTCTCCTATTTGAACGGTTGTTGGAAATATTGGCGATGTGAATGCTACTTCTCCTACAACAAATTACATTAGATAAATATTAGTATATGATCATTCTCATTGCCACAATTATTTACATAAAAATGAACAAAATAAGATAAAATACTTATCTTTAGTAGGTAGAGAACGTTCTTCGTCGATCTTTGATTAGTACAATATTTTAGGTTAAGGCATGTAAGTTCACTATCCTTAAGAGCAAATTTCGCTCCTCTAAAACAATGTCTTGGTGTAGCAGGTTATAACGCCCTACTCTCTAGGATACAACAACCTTTGATCCTTGTAAGCGTACACTTGTAATACTTAGATTGGGTGAACAACTCAATTTTTCCATTGGTACAAAACAATTGAATGATATAGCAACACTTGGAAGAATGTGGGATTCAATTACGGAATAGAGATGATGATCTTATTTCTATCTCTCCAAAAAAGGCTCACAATTGCCAATATATATAGTCGAGGCTGAGCCCCAAAAACCCGTGATCAATCATGGCAACGAAAACAAATTAAAATCAAATAATCGCAACATTATGCATTCAAATGTGATTGTTAACCAATATGTTAAAACCAGACTCATGTAACTGAAGGATTTTGTTCTCATCTAACTTGAAAATAACAATAAGTAGGAACCAATTCTAATGCCATATCCAAACGGTCCAATGAAATAAGATGGGAATCAAAACAATGATATAAAAGATTTGATGTCTAATGCATTGAATATGTAGTATAAATATTCAATGGAAAGTTATTTCTAAAGGTGCGGTCAACAAAGATTATAAATGAATTTATACCAAAAAAAATTAAATTAAATAAAAGAATCAAATCTAATTTTTAATTAAAACAAATATAAACAACAAATGTACTTTAAGATGAGAATTTGGGTTTTGAAATACCACTTAAAATTCCAACAATCCCCCACATATTTCAAAATACAAATCGAATCAGCAGAAAGGAATATGAGAAATAGAAGGATAACGAGGACGAGGATGTACCAAAGGAAAGTGAGAATCCAATGCATCAGAACCGGTGTCTGTTGGATTATGAACCAACCTTAGGACGAGCTAGCCGTAACTCACATAAATTTGGTGAAAATTAAATTTTCTATGAATCAAAATTTCTTTTAGTGAATCATAGGACTAACCATC